GTGAAATAATTCAAGTTATATACTGAATCAGTCATCAATCAGGATGGAGACTGCAGTTAAGAAATCAGAAAAACACTAATATTTGGAAGCACAACTATGAAGGAACTACACAAGGTCCTGAAGTGTAAAGATATAGCTAACTTTAGGATGGCCCATGCAATTTGATTTCCAAATTCTATGTGTAGTTGTGAAAGCTGGACAGAGAAGAAAGCTGACAAAAAGAAAATAAACTCATTTGCAATGTGTGGCTGGAGAAGAGTTCTACGGATAGTGAAGACTGCTAAAAAGTCAAACAAATGGGTCCTATCATAGTGGTTCTCAACCTGTGGGTCCCCAGGTGTTTTGGCCTACAACTCCCAGAAATCCCAGCCACTTTACCAGCTGTTAGGACTTCTGGGAGTTGAAGGCCAAAACATCTGGGGACTCAGAGGTTGAGAACCACTGTTAGAGCAAATCAATCCTTAAGTCTCTTTAGAAGCACAAATGCCTACTGAGACTGTTGTACTTTGGCCATATCATGAGAAGAGAGGGCTCACCAGAAAAGACAAACATGTTTGTTAAGGCAGAAGGAAAAGAGGAAGACCATATTCAATGTGGATATTCTCTATGAATGAAGCCAAAGCTCTAGGTCTGCAAGACTTGAGCAGAGCTGTCAATGAGGGGATAGATAGCCTGGATGCCTCTCATTCATGGTCACCGTGAGTCAAAGTCAATTGGATGTCAGATAACAACAAAAATTTCTCAGTATTTTTTTATTGCGGCATTTTGGCTCTAGGACCTCTATGTTAATTAAACAGACTAAGTACGATTCTTGCATGCATGTGACTGCCTGCCAACTCCTTCTCTCATGCATGGACACACCTACACTGAGTATGTTTCGGCCTCCTTTTAGCACAAAAAGTAAGCCCAAAGTCTCTATTTTGTAAAACCTTTGTATTACAGATTGAGCATAGCTTGTTTGGAATTCTGAAATTTGAAATATAGGCATCCCCCAAGTTATGAATAAGATAGGTTCTGTAGGCTAGTTCTTAAGCTGAATTTGTATGTAAGTCAGAAGAAGTATGTTTTTTAAAGTGTAACTCCAGCCAAATATATATATAGAGAGAGAGAGGGAGGGAGGGAGAGAGTGCTTTGCATAGCATAGTGCCCCCTGTTCAGAAGATTTCACCTCACTTTCTTTCCCTGTGACATTTGAATTTTGAAACATTTGGCTTGTTGTGGAAACAAGGATTGGTGATAAAGCTTCAGTGGAGACATCTTTTCCCCAGGATAACTCTTCCAGGAGTGAATTTCCTTTCTAAGGGGTAGATTTCTCTCACTTCCTGTTATCTTGCCCCTGTTCTTTACTGTGAGTCATTTGTAAGCTGAGTGTTTGTAACTTGGGGGCTGCCTGTACTCCAAAATTGTCCATGTGGGTGGCTGGACTACTGGCACCTATCTGTTACGAAATATTACTTTTATTTATAACTATGGACTAAACCAGGGGTCCTCAAACTTTTTAAACAGAGGGCCAGGTCACTGTCCCTCAAACTGTTGGAGGGCCGGATTATAATTTGAAAAAAAATATATGAATGAATTCCTGTGCACAATGCACATATCTTATTTATAGTGCAAAAACCACATAAAACAATACAATAATTAAAACAAAGAACAATTTTAACAAATATAAAATTATTAGTATTTCAATGGGAAGTGTGGGCCTACTTTTGGCTGATGGGATAGGATTGCTGTTGTTGTTGTTGTTGTGTGCTTTCAAGTCCTTTCAGACTTAGGTTGACCCTGAACGAGGGCCAGGTAAATGACCTTGGAGGGCCGCATCCGGCCCTCGGGCCTTAGTTTGAGGATCCCTGGACTAAACCCTTGGGCTGGCTGAACTGCTGACCTGAAGGTCAGTGGTTCATATCTATGAGATGGGGTGAGCTCCCATCTGTCAGCTCCAGCTTCCCCTGGAGGAACATGAGAGAAGCCTCCCACAGGATGGTGAAACATCCAGGCATCCCCTGGGCAACATCTCTGCCCAGACAGCCAATTCTCTCACACGAGAAGCAACTTACAGTTTCACAAATCAATTCTGACATGACAATAAAATATATTAAATGTTACATGTGTAATATTAATTTATTGCTTATTAATTAATATAATAATATACAATGATTAATATTAAATTGAATATTAAAATATAGTGTACAGAATTACCTTCCGACTCTCTATATAATGTTGTGGACTTGGGGCCCACCTCCAAAATATCCATGTCCCCTTCCACACATTTGGATAAAATCCACATTGAAGTGGATTATATGGCAGTGTGAACTCAGACAACCCAGTTCAAAGCAGATATTGTGGATTATCTGCCTTGATATTCTGGATTATAGGGCTGTGTGGAAGAGCCCTACGTTATAAGCAAGGATTCCAAAATCCAAAACACTTCTGGCCCCCTGCATTTCAGACAAAGGATACTCAACCTATATTTATCTGTGTAAAGTGTGGGTTTACATGGTGGGCTTTGTATGTAATTTAAAATGTATTTCTCGTATTTTAATTGTAAGCTTTGTATGTAATATTAAAGGTATTTCTTGTATTTTAACTGTTTGGGGGGCTTTGTGTATAATTTTAATGGTATTTCATGAATTTTAGCTGTAATGGGGGGCTTTGTGTGTAATTGTAAAGACATTTCTCACGTTCTAACTGTATTGGACAAATCTGTATGTAATTTTAAAGGTTTTTCTTGTATTTCAATTTTCTTGCGGGGAGTTCTTTATGTAATTTTAGTGGAATTTCTTGTATTTCAGCTGTCTTGGGGAGCTTTGCATAGTATTTCTTGTATTCTAACTGTATTGGGAGGCTTTTTATGCAATTTTAATGTCATTTCTTGTATATTAACTATTGGGGGACTTTGTATGTCATTTAATTGTCTTGCGGAGAGTTTTGTATGTAATTTTAGTGGCATTTCTTGCATTTTAGCTGTCTTGGGGGGCTTTGCATAGTATTTCTTGTATTCGAACTGTATTGGAATGCTTTGTATGCAATTTTAATGTCATTTCTTGTATATTAACTGTATTGGGGGACTTTGCATGTAATTTAATTGTCTTGCGGGGAGTTTTATATGTAAATTTAATGTCATTTCTTACATTTTAGCTGTCTTGGGGGGCTTTGTGTGTAATTTTAATGGTATTTCCCATATTTTAACTGCATAGGGGTTTTGTATGTAAATTTAATTGTATTTTAACTGTGTTGGGGGGAAATTGTATGTAATTTTAAAGGTATTTCTCATATTTTAACTGTATTGGATGAATTTGTTTGAAAATTTAAAGGTATTTCTTGTGTTTTAACTGCCTTGGGGGAGTTTCGTATGCAATTTTAATGGCATTACTTATATTTTAATTGTATTGGGAGAGCTCCCGGTGGCGCAGTGGGTTAAACCCCTGTGTTGGCAGGACTGAAGATCGACAGGTTGCAGGTTCAAATCTGGGGAGAGGAGGATGAGCTCCCTCTATCAGCCCCAGCTCCTCATGCGGGGATACGAGAGAAGCCTCCCACAAGGATGATAAAAACATCAAATCATCTGGGAGTTCCCTGGGCAACATCCTTGCAGACGGCCAATTCTCTCACACCAGAAGCGACTTGCAGTTTCTCAAGTTGCTCCTGACACCACAAAAAAATGTATTGGATGAATTTGTATGAAAATTTAAAGGTATTTCTTGTGTTTTAGCTGTCTTGGGGGAGTTTAGTATGTAATTTTAATGGCATTTCTTACATTTTAACTGTATTGGAGGGCTTTGTATGTAATTTTAAAGATATCTCTTGTATTTTAACTGCATGGGGGGCTTTGTATGCAATGTTAAAGATACTTCTCACACTTTAACTGTATTGGACAGCTTTGTATGTAATTTTAAATGTGTTTCTTATATTTTAACTGTATTGGGGGGCTTTGTATGTAATTTTAAAGGTATCTCTTGTATTTTAACTGCATGGGGGGCTTTGTATGTAATGTTAAAGATACTTCTCACACTTTAACTGTATTGGACAGCTTTGTATGTAATTTTAAATGTGTTGCTCGTATTTTAATTGTATTGGGTGGGCTTTGTATGTAATTTTAATGGCATTTCTTGTATTTTAACTGTATTGGGGAGGGGGAGCTTTGCAAGGCATTTCTTGTATTTTGACTTTGGTATCCCCCCCTCCCACAATGTTTAGTTTTAAAAAATGTAATTATCTTTAATGTTTACTTGGTGTGTTTCTTGGTTGGATGCCTTGAGTCCCTCTGGGGAGAAAGGCGAGATAGAAATAAAGTAAACAACAACAACAACAACAATAACAGCGAATTTATAGAGCAGGCCTGGGCCAACTTGGGCCTTCCAGGTGTTTTGGACTCCAACTCCCAATTCCTCAAGCCTCAGGCCCCTTCCTTTCCCTCAGCGTTGAAGCGGCGGAGGGGGAAAAGGAAAGGGCCCGAGGCAGTTAGGAATGGTGGGATTTGAAGTCCAAAACACCTGGAGGGCCCAAGTTGGCCCAGGCCTGCTACAGAGTGTGGGTGCGCCTCTTGCCCACTTTCAGGGCAGCCCACGTGGCAGAGACTAAGAAAGCAGAGCCCAAAGGGACTCCCTCCCTCTCTCCTCCTTGTAGACAGAGAAGAGGCCTCTCCAAAGGGCTATAGAGTGTACTACCCCCCTCCCTCCAAGACCTCTCTCCTTCCCTTGAAGCCCAATTCCCGTCCGCCTCCAGCCTCCACAGCAAGAAAAGTTTGCCTATCCCTGACTGGGAGCTGTCTCCCGCCCTGTTGCCCCGGATGAAGTGGGCGACAGGGCGGGAGAGAGACAGGGCTGAGGAGAAAGGGTCTTTTTTGAGGAGAAAGGGTCTTCCCCCCCCCCCTCCTCCTCCTCCTCCTCCTCCCGCCCTTTCCTCCTCCTTCCGAGGCTGATGCAACCGCGCGCCCCAGTTGCAAGGCGCGCCACGCGTCTTGAGGCTTGAAACCGAAGCTCTTCCGAAGTGCGCTCACTCACCAACTCTAGGTGGAGGAAGAGGAGAAGGAGGAGAAGAAGGGCTTCTGCGATGAAGGAAAAGAAGAAAGACGGCGACAAACTCCAGGAGGGAGGGAGGGAAGGAGGAAGAGAGAAAGCACACAAGCCACGCGCCGAAGCCAGCGCGCGCAGGCAAAGGGAGCGACACGAAAGACCAGACAGGCGGGCAGCGAGGCAAGCAGGCGCGCGCCCGCCCGCCCGCTCTCCCCCTTCAGCCAATCAGGCCCCGAGGAAGTTTGACGCTCCTGAAAGGAAAAGTGTGGAGTGGGGAGGGGAAGGGAAGCGAAATGGGAAAGGCTGGGTTCCCGCCTGGAACTGGCAGCAGGTGGGTGCCCCTGCGTCTCGTCTACAGTGTGGAATGAAAGCAGCTTGGAACTGTCGCAGCTCAAGTCTAAGGGGTCCTTCAAGGTGGAATGGGCCCCCCATCTTGATCTGCTTTGAACTGGAATATATGGCAGTGTGGACGCAAGGCCGTTCCAGACAGACCTATATCCCAAAATATCAAGGCAGACAATCCCACAATATCTGCTTTGAACTCCCCCCCCCCCCATGGACTATCATTAGAAAATGGTGTAACATTAAAATGTACACATTCAGAAGAAGACCTACAAGCCACTCTAAACACTTTCACAGAAGCATACGAGAAGCTCTCTAAACACCTTCGCAGAAGCATACACAATTCAGGGTGCTGGTTTTGACCTACAAAACCCTTTACGGTTCCGGTCCAGTGTATCTGTCCAAACATATCTCCCTCTACGTCCCACCCCGGAATTTGAGTCATCTGGGGAGACCCTGCTCTCGACCCCACCGCTATCACAAGTGAGGCTGGTGGGGACGAGGAGCAGGGCCTTCTCAGTGGTGGCTCCTCACCTGTGGAACTCACTCTCGGGGGAAATTAGGGCATCAACATCCCTCCTCTCCTTCAGGAGGAAGGTAAAGATGTGGTTGTGGACCAGGCCTTTGGGCAATCTGACAACTAGATATGGACAACCAGATGGATAGGACTGAAAGGACTGACAATTGTGGAATTGGAATTTGAACTATGAGTTTTGAAACGCTGACCATCAATGAGGAGAAATGGTGGATAGTCTTTAGATGTCACATGCAACTCCTGGAACGATTCCATCAGCGTTGCCTCCAAAAAATCCTGCAAATCTCTTGGGAAGACAAGCAGACAAACGTCAGTGTACTGGAAAAAGCAAAGACCACCAGCATTGAAGCAATGCTCCTCCGCCATCAACTCCGCTGGACCGGCCACATTGTCTGAATGCCCAACCACCATCTCCCAAAGCAGTTGCTCTACTCCAAACTCAAGAACGGAAAACAGAATGTTGGTGGGCAGGAAAAGAGATTTAAAGATGGGCTCAAAACCAACCTTGAAAACTCTGGCATAGACACCAAGAAGTGGGAAGCCCTGGTCCTTGAGTGCTCCAGCTGGAGGTCAGCTGTGACCAGCAGTGCTGTAGAATTTGAAGAGGCACGAATGGAGGGCGAAAGAGAGAAACATGCCAAGCAGAAGGTACATCGAGCCAACCCTGACCGGGACCCGCCTTCCACCTGGAAACCGATGCCCTCACTGCGGGAGAAGATGCAGATCAAGAATAGGGCTCCACAATCACCTATGTGCCCCTCGCCAGTACAACGAACCTGGAATACAATCTTAATCAACGAGGGATCGCCTAAGTGAGTAACCCACAATATGAAGGCAGACAATCCCACAATATCCGCTTTGAACTAGGTTATTTGAGGGCCCTTCCACACAGCCCTATAACCCAGAATATTAAGACAGGAAATCCCATGTTATCTGAGTGTGGACTCAGATACCCCAGTTCAAAATCTGTCAGTGCTCGAGTCCCATTATATACAATAGCATAGCAAAATGTCCCCGTTATAAAACAAGACAAGTCAAATGAGTGCCAGGGAGAGCTGGAGGATCCATGACATGATGGTAGTCTATATCAGGGTGCGCTTGTACATCAGCACAGTGCTTGGCAAAATCAGGCCTTTTTTCATAATGTTTTTCAAGCTTTAGTTGTTTGAATCTATGGATGCAGCTCCCATCAATAAGAAGGGACAACTATAGACATACACAATTCAGACTAAAGTTCGATTATGGGCTGTCCAACATGTGTACTTCAGCTTCTGAAATGCATTGTGCTGGATATGATGTGTCAAACTAGATCTGGGAAGTTGTCTTTGGCAGTGGATTTCACATAAAATAGATTTCCAAGTCCAGGCCAAGGACCAGCACTTACTTCTCAAAGTTTGCAATGTCTTGGGATCAGCACAATTGCAAGACAGCACATTTTTCTCATATCAACCTTCAAGATGTTGGGCCGCAACCCCAATAAATGGGGAAGGGTTATTATTCCAATCCCTGATTAACATAATGATGGAAGGCTTTTCTTCAAGGACCTTGGAAGACTATATATCTCAATTTCTTATTCCATCCTAGCTGTATAACATTTTTCATAGAGAGAAAACCAGAACTAGAACTGCAAAAGGTAATTGGTGCAGAGCCAACTTGAAACCTCTTTGTTGGGCCAAGGCTTTCTCCCTTTTTCCTTGTGTTATTATCTTTCCTGCTTTACTTTCCAGTGAAGTCCTGTTTCAGAGTTTTTAGTATCATTTACCACGATGTTAGTATCTTACCCATACTCTTGAAGATGAAAGGTGGTTTTCAAACATTGAAGTACAATAAAATGTGTTGTTTTGTGCACCTTCAAGTTGTATCCAACTTATGGTGAACACATCACAGAGGTTTCTGGGCCTGAAAGTATGTGACTCACCCTGTGTCACTCAGTGACTTTAATGAACATGAAAGAGGCACCAGGCAATGTGTGTGCATGGCCATGTTTACTTGATGGCATTCCTGGGCTTTTAAAAATCTGTCTGAAGCATTTCAGCAAGTTACTTTGCTCAATGCTCAGTCCCATCAAGCTGCAATAGTCAGCCCATATTCTGCAGCTACTTTGCATGTTGCGTTGTACTGGAGTAGTGCTGTCTCGCCCCTTTTAGGCTCTTTTTCCTTCTACAAACCTCGGGGCTTCCCAGGGCTGCTGATATTTCCTTTTGCGAGTGATGGGTGGAGTGTTTGGGTACATAAACAGTGTCACTCCCTGCCTGGACTTCATGAATGGCAGAGAGTAATGACCATAGTAAAAAAAAAAAAGGTCACAAGATGTCCATATGAAAAACTATTTTGACTACTGCCAACAAACGAATAGTCCTGAATGTGGCAGTTTAATCCAGTGAAGACTATTCTCAGTGTTGGCTGGTCACTGAATACATTTCCAACTTTTCCAGACCATTCTCAACTTTTCAGTAGCCAAGTTATTAGTTGAGCCAACACGGTCAAGGCAAGTCCTCCACTCAGGGGCATAATTACATGAACAATTCTGCAGTTTCTCACTGTTCCTAAAGGTATCAAGATACTCAATCTCTTGAATCCCATTCACTCTCAGGAGTAGACTATACACAAGGGATTCACAACCATCCAATTAAGCAATTGCTTCCTACACGTTCCTGAGTCTAATTGTGATGAGGACGCCCAAGTAGGAGATCAGCAACAGGGACATTGCAAGCCAAGGAAGGAGTCTACTTGATCACTAACTGCAGCAAGAAGAAAATAAAGATGCTGATAGCAGGGAATTCATTACTCGGAAGTATAGAGCTTGACAAGATGAATCAGGAAGTATGCTGTCCCTGGTGCACACATCCAGGATGTCACTGACAATGTGCTGAAGCTCATTAAGAACACATATCTGTTCCTTTTCTTCTTATTCATTTGGGCAGCAACAGCACTGTGAAGAAAACCTTTTACCAAATCAACTTGGACCACAAAGACTTCAGAAGGAAGGTGAAAGATTTAGGACCTTAGTCATTGTTATTGCCAGTTCTACCAGTGAAAGTTAAAATACCACACAGGGACAGGAAGATACTGTAAGGCAGCGTTTCTCAACCTGGAGGTCAGGACCCCTGGGGGAGGGGTCGTGAGGGGGTTTCAGTGGGGTCACCATAGACCATCAGAAAACATATATTTCTGATGTTCTTAGAAACCCATTTGACAGAGAAGGCTGAAGATCTCTCCGCCTGTCCTTCTCTTCCTTTTTGGAAACAGACGTTAATCCTCCCACCAAAACCCCTCTTCCGCTGTGATTGGCTGACCTCTCAGATGGCCTCTCAGTCAAGAGGAGGGCTGTTTCTGAGACTTCAAGCGATGAGGGGAGAGCAGGCATGCTTGGTGCATGGCAGCGAGGGAGAGCATGTGAGGCTGGAGGGAGGCTCGCGCCAGTGAATCCTTTCAAGGTATGAAGGTTCTGTGTGGGATGTTTGGCCCAATTCTATTGTTAGTGGGGTTCAAAATTTTCTTTGATTGTAGGTGAACTATAAATCCCAGCAACTACAACTCCCAAATGTCAAGGTCTAATTTTACCAAACTCCACCAGTGTTCACATTTGGGCATATTGAGTATCCATGCCAAGTTTGATCCAGATCCATAATTGTTTGAGTCCATAGTGCTCTCTGGGTGTAGGTGAACTACAACTCCAAAACTCAAGGTCAATGGCCACTAAACCCTTTCATTATTTTCTATTGGTCGTAGGAGTTCTGTGTGCCAAGTTTGGTTCAATTCCATTGTTGGTGGAGTTCAAAATGCTCTTTGATTGTAGGTTAACTATAAATCCCAGCGACTACAACTCCCAGATGGCAAAATCAATCCCTGCGACTCCACCAGTATTCAAATTTGGGCGTATTAGGTATTTGTGCCAAATCTGGTGCAGTGAATGAAGATACATCCTCCTGCATATCAGATATTTATGTTACGATTCATAACAGTAGTAAAATTACAGTTATGAAGTAGCAATGAAAATAATTTTATGGCTGGGGGTCACCACAACATGAGGAACTGTATTAAGGGGTCGTGGCATTAGGAAGGTTGAGAAACACTTCTGTAAGGGAACAACTGGCAACGGAGATGTTGTCAGAAGGAAAGGTTTGGCATCTGTGATTATTATCTTACCTTCTTAGACAGGCTGCATGCCAAGAAGACCAGGAACAATGTCTTTGGTAAAAGCAAGGCAAATCTGATCAAGAGTTCTTCAGACTAAACTGCTGGATGAGCCGGAGATTATAGGTACTCAAGAGCAAACTTTAAACGCAAGGATCCAAACTCTAGGGGACAAAC